CCCAGGTAACAAAAACAACCCTCCCAAATAGGACCCAGGTAACAAAAACAACCCTCCCAAATAGGACCCAGGTAACAAAATCAACCCTCCCAAATAGGACCCAGGTAACAAAAACAACCCTCCCAAATAGGACCCAGGTAACAAAAACAACCCTCCCAAATAGGACCCAGGTAACAAAATCAACCCTCCCAAACAGGACCCAGGTAACAAAAACAACCCTCCCAAATAGGACCCAGGTAACAAAAACAACCCCCAATATGACCCAGGTCACAAAAAAATACAACCCCCAATGTGGTCAAAACCACAAGGACAACCCCACTATGAGGTCTAGCCCAGGAAAAGTTTTGAAGCTCTCTAAAGTTGGAACCAGTTTATCCCAGAGTTCTCAGTGGCCCCACCTGATTTATTGGCTCGTGGCATGAGCGTCACTTAATCAACCCAAACCACTCTTCAAGGACTTCACCAAATATCAACGTGGGGCTAAAAAAAAGCAATACTTTAATTTTCAGTTTTTATCCCCACGAAATCAAGAAAAAACAAACGAACACCAGGAATCACCTTGTGCTTGGTGGGCTTGTCATGTGATTTAGTCCTAGCCAATCATACAATCAATAGATTGGAGGGTTTAATATGCATAAGGAGGCTGATGATCCCCTCTCTCTCTCTCTAGGCCGTCCCTAATACATTCATACACGGGTGTACATCGGCCCGGGGTTGGGGAGGGGGTGGTTGAGTAGGAGCACTGAGGGAGACGGAAGACAGCCTGGGGGTAATACAGACTTGGGGGGTGAGGGGGGCGGCGGCACATACTGGGGGGGGGGGGGAAGCACAAACCATTAGTGATATCAACCAATGGATGGGAGGCTATAAGCGTGATATCAACCAATGGGGAGCTATTAGCGTGATATTAATCAAAGAGAGGCTATTAGCGTGATATCAACCAAAGAGAGGCTATTAGCGTGATATCAACCAAAGAGAGGATATAAGCGTGATATCAACCAAAGAGAGGATATTAGCGTGATATCAACCAAACACGGGATATTAGCGTGATATCAACTAAAGGGAGGCTATTAGCGTAATATTCCAGTCTACGGTTATCGATCGTGCACGAGTTTCTTCATTTAAAAAAAAATGTGGGCAGACGTGAAAGAATCCACAGGACACAGTGTGTGTGTGTGAGTGTGTGTGTATGTGTGTGTGTGGGGGGGGGGGGGTAACTCCAGCAGCTTGGCGCGTTCTCCGGCCCAGAAAACTCGGCACAAATTAAGAGAAAAACGTTTGAGAAATATCCAGCGTTTAAATCTTGGACTGTCTGGTGTGTTTTGGGGTGGGAGGGGGGGGGGGAAGGGGGGTGGGGAAGTTGGACGTGGGTTCAAGCATACAATTCAATTTTAAAAATCCCAAGCTTTGATGATTTATATTAACTTACGTGGGGGGGGGGGGGGTTAGTTCAAGCGGATAACATTTTTGTTTGTGAAAATACTTTCTTATGAGTGATTGGGACCCGCATTACGTCAGACGTCATTGACCAATCGGGGTACAAAAGTTGGCGGAGAATAGAAATGGTGAGCAGTAATAGGTGGATGGTCAGAGAGATAAAGTGTGGATTATATGGGTTAAATTAGTTGGTGCTGGCCCAGTAGAATGGCACCCAGTAGAGTGGCGGCCCAGTAGAGTGGCGCCCAGCAGAGTGGCGCCCAGCAGAGTGGCGGCCCAGTAGAGTGGCGCCCAGCAGAGTGGCGCCCAGTAGAGTGACAGATCAGTAGAGCCTACTGCCCCAGTAGAGCCAGAAGAGTCTGTTGGTCCAGTAGAAGTGAGTAGAACATGATGGCCCAGTAGAATACGATGGCCCAGTAGAACACAATGGCCCAGTAGAACACGATGGCCCAGTAGAACATGATGGTCCAGTAGAACACGATGGTCCAATTATCTGTCGGTCAGCTATATTGTAGCCCACAAGTTCCCTATGGCTAGGTGGTCAGTATGTGACTTCAAATCAATATCCGACAGATATCGCGAGATCTTCCGATAGTTTCCAGTTTGTACTGACCAAATTATTTTATCTCTCCCTCTGTTACTGTGAGATAACTTTCTTATGTAATCATTCACATTCCCGTCTTCGATTGGAACACATGGACAAACAGAACAAAACATTATGGTCACAGTTTTTGGGACAACAACGTGGGACAACAACGTGGGACTTTTACGACATCAACAATTACTATCAACTCAAATATGGTTAAAGAACAACAATTACTATCAACTCAAATATGGTTAAAGAACAACAATTACTATCAACTCAAATATGGTTAAAGAACAACAATTACTATCAACTCAAATATGGTTAAAGAACAACAATTACTATCAACTCAAATATGGTTAAAGAACAACAATTACTATCAACTCAAATATGGTTAAAGAACAACAATTACTATCAACTATAATGACGTTAAAGAACAACAATTACTATCAACTCAAATGACGTTAAAGAACAACACTTACAGAAACAACGTAAGAGTGCAATACTTACATCAAACAAGTAAACAACGACAACGTCAACATCGAAAGTAAACAACGACAGCAACGTAAGTAAACAACTTTTGTTTCCACGTAAGATAAAAGAAAACAATTTGACCAAGAACTTCTCCCCACGGCAGGCACGGAGCGGAAGTTATTAGAAATCTCTGACCAGAAGTCAATGCCGGAGACTTGAAACAAACCTAATTTAAGCCAATCAAAACCCCGGGGTGGGGGAGATGGAAGTGGCGCCCTGGGGGGAGACTTGGTGTGAGGTGGTGGCCAGCAGTGACGTCATGACGACACCTCACGTAAACAGAGCGCGTGCTAATGACACGTGACAGCCTTGCTGCTACTTGATTGGACACGGGAGTGAGACAATTAAGACACTTAACAAAACAAGATAAGAAACACAAGTTATAATATGAAAATTTCAGGATTCACGAAACTTAAAAACGTTTGAAAAATAAACTCAAAGACAGTTCATTTTTTGTGTTTGCGCTTCAAAATAAAGTTCAGACGTTTTAAGTTTCGTTGACACTATTTCAAAAAAGTGTTGAATATAAAGCCTTCATTTAGCTTTACTTCTTAAGTTGGATGTAAAGCAATTTTTTTCGGTTGTAAAGGAAGATTTAAGTAAAGATTTGTTTAGTTTATAGATCAAGAAAAAAAGTGAAAAAAAAAAAAGAGTGAGTACTTCCTGGTTTTACCTGAACTCTGAAAGGTTTCTGGTTTTCAGAGTAATTGTTGGATGGTGAGGTGGGGGGTAGAGAAGGGAGGAGAGACATGAAAGAGAGGGAGGAGAGACATGAAAGAGAGAAGGGAGGAGAGACATGAAAGAGAGGGAGGAGAGACACGAAAGAGAGAAGGGAGGAGAGACATGAAAGAGAGGGAGAAATATGGAGACAGACAGATCTGAACTGTCTAGACATTTTGGTGACAAGATTTCCTGTCAACAATATGGACATTTGATGTAAATACTGTGGACATTTGATGTCAACGATATTCAACGTGGACAACTGATGTTGACAATGTGGGCAGTTGATATAAAGAATGTGGACATTTAATACCAAAATAAACAGCCATTTTGGAGACATTACTTTGGGGGATGGGGGAATGGGGATGGGGTGGTGGAAAGCAAAAAAAAATGGTGTGAGGAGAAAAAGGAAAAACAAGAAAACCTGACCGAGATAAATAAATCAATGAATGAATGTATATCTATATCTACATTATATATATATATATATATATATATATATATATATATATATATATATATATATATATATATATATATATATATATATATATATATATATATATATATATATAAAAGAGTGACAGAAAGAGAAAGCGAGAGAGGTAGAGAGACATCGGGAGGGAGAGAGCGAAAGATGTCGAGGGCTGACAGCACTTCCAACAAGCCATCAGTAACAGACGGGAGTCCATCAACACGTGACCTCGTGTCGTGAGGCTGGGGCGGGCTAAAGGACGACAACGTTGACACATATCTCCTGAGGTAAACAATGATGTATGTGCAAGGGTACACGGCTCTGATATATTGTCAGAAATCACAATATATATGCTAATTACACAAAAATATGCAGTTGTCTATGAATACATAATGTGAAGCATCGATAAAAGAAAAGAAAACAAGAACAAAAATAGATTTAGAAATATTTCGGTGGACGCGCCAACAAAATAGGAAGAAAAAGTTTCACGTGGTTTTTTGTTTAGGGCTGAGAGCGTCTATTAAGAATTTAGAACACAAGCTTCAAATTGATGTCTCACATTTATAGCAATCGGTGAGACATGCCCACAATATACACAACTTCTGTGTGTGTGTGTGTGTGGGGGGGGGGGGGGTCAGCTGTTCCACACTAGCCAGCTTTTAACAAACCGGGCTAGAAATGGAGCTTGGGTCGGATTGCTAGGAATCTCTTGCGTACAGGAAGCAGAAGTTTACTGACCAGGATGCACAGTGGGTGGCGGCTCCATGGCCAGGATAAGAGAGGGGGCCAAAAGTATAGACCAAGCAAGCACAGAACACAGATCAGCAAGGAACATAGACCAACAAGCAACATAGAACAAGGAGCACAGACGAACAAGGAACATTAACAAGGAACACAGACCAACAAGGAACACAGACCAACAAGGAACATAGACCAACAAGGAACATAGACCAACAAGGAACATAGACCAACAAGGAACACAGACCAATAAGGAACACCAACAAGGAACACAGACCATCAAGGAACATTTACAAGGAACAGACCAGCAAGGAACAGACCAGCAAGGAACAGACCAGCAAGGAACAGACCAGCAAGGAACAGACCAGCAAGGAACAGACCAGCAAGGAACACCAACAAGGAACACAGACCATCAAGGAACATTAACAAAGAACAGACCAGCAAGGAACAGACCAGCAAGGAACACAGACCATCAAGGAACCCAGACGGCCCTCCTAGACGTGACAGACTGACCTGACATCGGAGCCCAGCAGAGATGACCGCCTTAAGATTGCCCTCGCCTGAGCGTTGGTGATGCGCCTCAGACTTTCGTTGTTGATGGATACGATGTAATCCCCGGGCTGGATGCGCCCGTCCTCGTCAACGGCGCTGGGGCGGGCGATGGTCTTCACCAGACACCCGTTGACCCCCTTGTCTACAGCGTCCACCGTCAAGCCTGGGGAGAGAGGCAGGGGCTTCAGTCTGTACAAGTGTGAGTCGTAATTAGACAGGGGCTTCAGTCTGTACAAGTGTGAGTCGTAATTAGACAGGGGCTTCAGTCTGTACAAGTGTGAGTCGTAATTAGACAGGGGCTTCAGTCTGTACAAGTGTGAGTCGTAATTAGACAGGGGCTTCAGTCTGTACAAGTGTGAGTCGTAATTAGACAGGGGCTTCAGTCTGTACAAGTGTGAGTCGTAATTAGACAGGGGCTTCAGTCTGTACAAGTGTGAGTCGTAATTAGACAGGGGCTTCAGTCTGTACAAGTGTGAGTCGTAATTAGACAGGGGCTTCAGTCTGTACAAGTCAACATTAGAAACAGGGCTATAGAACTACAGGGAGCATGGCTATAGAAGTATAGCGAACAGGGTTATAGAACTTTAAGAAGCATGGCTATAGAACTAGTTGGAGCAGGGCTATAGAACTAGTTGGAGAAGGGCTATAGAAGTATAGGGAACAGGGCTATAGAAGTATAGGGAACAGGGCTATAGAGCTAAAGGGAGCAGGGCTATAGAACTAGAGCAGTGGTTCCCAACCTTTTTCGAGTGGCGACCCCCTTTTATAAAAAGAAAGTGACCCGCGACCCCCATAGAATTAAAAACCCAAATTAGTATAGAAATTAAGAAGCACTAAAATAAGATTTTCTAGTAGACTTTCAATATGAACTACTCTTGATAACTGTTTTAATAGCATGAGTAAAATTGCATACTATTCACTAAATCTTCGTGGTTAAGTTTTTTATTAAAACATTTTTTTGTTAACGCCAACCTATGACATTATAATTATCTTAATTTTGTTTTTAATCGAAGAATAGTGTTGAAAATATATTCTCGAAAAGTCAATAAATTTTACGTTTGGGTATGAATGGTGAATACTACACCAAAATTGTGTCCGCAGTTTTTCATCTTACTCGGAATCATTCTGCAAATCAAAGAATTCATCTTGTAATTCATCGGGAATGCTGGCAACATCAAGGGAAGTAGAAAATGGGTAATGCTTAAATGCAGATTCTTCTTTTTTCAGCTCAGAGAAATAGCGATGCAGTTCGTTTTCAAGAGATTCAAGATGCCCAGAAATCGCTTCTTTCAAAATTTTAATTATCTCACAATCAGATTCATCTACCACACCGCAGAGTTTCTCAAATTTACAATATTTCCAAGATTTATTTTCTATACCGATTTTGCAGCTTTGATAAAAATGCCCCGAGATTATCATGGAAAGTTATAATATTCGTTCATTTTCCCTGAAGCTTCAGGTTAAGCTTATCTTGATGTTCGAACACATCTGCTAGGTATGATACTCTCTCCAACACTCTATGTCGTTTTAGGTATACCAAAAAGTCTTGTTTCCTTTGCACTTCCAAGAACAATTTGATTTCAGATTTCAATTCAAAAACACAATTTACAACATTTCGTTTGACAGCCAGCGTACTGTAGTGTAGAAGAGCAGAACCTCGTGATCTATAATTATGTTTTTGCTCAGTTTTTGAAGGCTCCAGATTTTATATAATTTACGACTTATACTAGCAATGGACTCTTGATGTCGATTGGTTAGGGCAGTGGTTAGGGAGCTAAATCTTTTCTGTTTTCTGAAAGCCCGATTTTGAGCTAAATATAGATGGCACACCATTCGTACAAACCCCCACAGCCGTTCTAACCCATTTTAATCACCCAGTTTCCAAAAAGGTATTTATTTTCTCCATGCTATCTTCACAAAAGAGCAACTCTTCTTTGCTATCATCCGCATGAATATAGACACAGAACAGCAACTGCGAACCACGAAATCACGTCTGTTGATTTATCAACTTGAAAAGCAAACAATGTTGAAAGCTTAATTTCAATAAAAATGTGTTATTTAACATTTACGTACATGCAGCGTTTGATGAGATTTTCTCCTATTGTTTTTTTTTTTTTTTTTGCTTGCCATTGTCTATCGCGACTTCATTTGATGCTTGCACTAATGCTGTGTTTCCTTGGTGAAAACTTCCTGTTCGATCAAGTATCTGGCGTTTGCAACTAGCTTCTCCATATATGTTTTGGTGTGTTCCGAATGACTCGTCTCAAATGACGTTTTAGTTTTGAAGATTTCATAGATTCGTGACTGAGAACAACTTTGTACAGTGCGCTTTGTTTCTTCTCTATTACATTTCCAGTGATGTTAATGAAGCCGAATTTCAAAAATTCTTCTAAATATTTATGTTTTGTTTCAAATTACTAAGGTTTAGTATACCAGTTGGCGACCCCCCAGAAAGACCTTCGCGACCCCCAGGGGGGTCGCGACCCCCAGGTTGGGAACCCGTGAACTAGAGGGAGCAGGGTTATAGAACTAGAGGGAGCAGGGTTATAGAACTAGAGGGAGCAGGGCTATAGAACTAGAGGGAGCAGGGCTATAGAACTAGAGGGAGCAGGGCTATTGAACTAGAGGGAGCAGGGCTATAGAACTAGAGGGAGCAGGGCTATAGAACTAGAGGGAGCAGGGCTATAGAACTAGAGGGAGCAGGGCTATAGAACTAGAGGGAGCAGGGCTATAGAACTAGAGGGAGCAGGGCTATTGAACTAGAGGGAGCAGGGCTATTGAACTAGAGGGAGCAGGGCTATAGAACTATAAGGAGCAGGGCTATAAAGGCATTACAGTTTTGTCAAATACAGGAAAACAAGCATGCGACTTACCTATATGCAGGTTAGCCTTAGGTATGTGGATGGTCCGTTCATGGGTCGCCGAGATGCGGGTCAGTTCCGGGGAGGCGAGGGCGGAATGTCCCGGTGACCCTGGGCGGGGTGAACTGGGCGGGGTCTTAAGGTCACTTGAGGTCAGATGGTCCGGGGAGGATGAGCTGCTGGGTTTTCGATGCATGAGGCGCGCGTGCCGCTGTGGACAGAGACGGTGACCTTTAACCCGTGGGTCATGGGGCGCTGGCGGTCGGGAGAAAACTCAAGGCTGGTAACCATGGATACGACCCGAGCTTAAGGCTCAAGGTCAGTAGAAGAATGATCAATAGTGATCAATCACAATATGTGGTCACTTTTAACCTGAGAAACTTTCGATACAACACATTCGCTTCCAATTTTAAAATATATTCTACTCTATATACTTTGTGACCTTAATCATAATTAGGCATAAATAATAATCCTGTTTATTATCTAGAAAATGAATTATAATAATGAAACATATATGATAAAATACTTATTTCCGCATAAAGTATACTACCTTATAATATATTTTTATATATTTATAATATTACAACTAATAACTTAATCATATGAATACTACAACATAGCATAAGGTTGTAGATTCCTAAATCGCGTGTGTCCAAAAGAGGAACACTGCAAATTTTAACAGCAGGGAATCTAAAACCCTGCACGTAAACACTTTTTCTTAGATTAAAAACTTATTTGAGTCTGAAAAGTTACTTGTAAACAAATCATATTTTAAAGATGAACACAATAATGTTCCTATATTAACTCGAATTCTGATTGGGTATCTTTGTATTAAAAATACGTCAAACTTTGTTGTTACTGAATTTAATGTCTAATTGCCCGTAATTATGTAAGTTAATCAAATGTTTATTAATTTTTGAAATTTTTAAAATATAACATATTTTAGTCTAAATTTTAATAATATGACAGCGGTAAGGATAAGCATCCAGGATCAAGCAATATGTGTAAGGGTAGGGAGAGGAGGGGTGGGGGTCATTCTACAGCTACAGGGGGATCTGTGGTTGGGGGTATCAATAAAGTATGCTTTCTAAAGATGAATCTGTGTAATTCGGTACTGGGGATCCTAAACAAGAAGTCACGTGAGTGTTGGGGTTAGAACAACAAACAGTTCAAAGGTCATGCTATCAGTGGGGTGCCTCAAGTCTCATGCGGGGTGACAAGTATTCCTGAGAAAGTTTCGCTAGTTAGTACAGAAAGTTAGCAGTTAGTCAAGTCAAGCTTTGGCAGTAGAGAAAATGTTATAGAACAAGTTATACATCTATTATTTGCTGTGATAAATAAGAGAAAGACGTTAAATATGACATGCTAAGGTTATTAATAATTGAAAAAATGTGTTTATACTGTAGTACAGTTTTAACGATTAAAAAATGATTAAAAATGTATTAAAATGATGTCATTCAAATGTGGTGTAAATAACAAGTTCGAGTTTACCAAAATATAAAGTAAGTATACGAAATAATTATTTAAAAAACATCAAGTATATTTCACACAGGCAAATCTTCGTATATTATTTGTAAAGCTGTGTTTGCCTTATGTTATTTTATTCACTGATATCAGAAGTTTCTAAAACTGGTTTTGCGTTATTTCTTGAATTATATACCAAACTAGGATATCAAAGCTGCGGATATGGGGCGGGTGTTGTTTTTTGGTCTGCACAGCTAAGGATCATCGACTTCTAATAGCTCATACAGAAGTATCAACGTGAATATTATTTAAAAAATAGTCAATACTATAATTCGGTTAAACATTTTAAATTCGCCGATAGTTTGGTTAAAAGTTGTAAACAAAGGCACGATTACAATGGCGCCTTAAAAGAGTGACTCGGCGCCCTACACAAGCAACCGCGCGCCCCATGAGAGGGCGCGTGTCGCACATTGTAAATGATGAGGGTATCCTTACCTTTGACTCGAGTTCCCCCCATTTCGGGGAGCTTGGAGCTGGCCGGAGGGGTGGGGTCTGAGGTGGGGTGGGGTTAGAACGGACAGGGGGTGGGGTGGGGTTAGAACGGACTGGGGGTGGGGGTGCGACTGGCAGTGGAGGTGGTGGCGTTTCCTGCAAACAGAACATGAGTGGGGAGAGGGGTTGTATTATTGAGGTCGTGTTAGGGTAGAGGTGGAGGGGAGGGGGCGGCGTAGGGAGGATAAACAAGAGACAGAACAACCAATTAGTATAATATACATGCGGTTATCATTCATTATTACATAAAAATGTCTAGGTGCTTTAAATATAATTAAGATGAAAATTTTAATTAGACAGTCTGCTTTATTAAATTTTAAATCAATACAAACAATTTCGAGTCTAAAATAGTATAACATGACTTTTAAAAAAATGTTAGAAAAAAAAGTTATTAAATTTATTTTCTTGCAATAAAAAAAAGTGCTAGTATACTAAGCGTGAAACAGTAGTTTAAGACATGGTTAGTCCCCCCTAGTTTGAGACAACGCGAGTTGTCTCCCCTTCACCCTAATCCATGTCTACATAAGCAGTTCGATACCTTTCCGTCACAGGAAATCAGGACGGTTATTGCTCATCGTATCGATCCCAAACACATTGATATTATAACAATCGATACCACTTTAAAATATCGAAACGTTTCTTGACGCGATATCGATACTGAGCAATGACCCCTGGTATCGTTTTAAGGTAAAAGTGATATAAAACACCACATTAAACACATAGAGATAGATGAAAAAGTCAAACTTGAAATTATTGAAAGAAAAACTTGTATTGTAAAATTCCTAAAATTGTTATATATATATATATATATATATATATATATATATATATATATATATATATATATATATATATCTAAAAAATATCTCTTGTCCCTTACACCACCACACCAATACAGTAAAACTGCTAAAAATGTAGAGTCTAAAAAATCTACTGCCACCACCCCTATATGCACTAGGACAATTAAAAATCGAAGTACTGTAATATTTAATAAGCCCTACCCGTTAGATATTACATTTCAAAATCTGATTATTGAAATTGCATTATTAAAAAAAAGTCCATTTAGCACATAATTAGCAAACATAGCCATCAAGCGTTTACTAATTAATTTTCTAAATTCATGCGTTTCGCAACTAAAAAGTAGTGATAAAAAAATAATGCAAATTTAAAAATATTTTTAAAAATATGCCAAAATTGCAAAAATCTTTATAGTACATCGACGAAAAGTTTCCTCAGCTATGACGTCATGCTTTAAAACTTTTAAAATCCACTAATGAATAAAGCTAATATGTGAAAAAGAAAAGAATCATTGTGCATTGCAAGAAAAGTGAGAAAAAAATTGAGCTAACATGTTTCTAAAAAAAAATCTAAGACTCCCGCAACAATAGACATTGGACTTCAGGGTCGAGGGCCTCTCGCTATCCCAACAACCATCGCATGTATTCTTTGTGACGTACTGATCGCTATTCCGACAATTAAAACTATATATTCAATATGACATTATCTATCGCTATTTCAACAATTAACGCTATATATTCCCTGTGCCATACGGATCGCTATTTCTACAACCATTGCAATATATTCAATATGACATTACAGATCGCTATTCCCACAACCAACGTAATGTATGTACTGTTCACATATCTTAGCTCTATAAAATTATTGGAGCTTAGACATCCCATTGAAGCAAAGCTTTCTCTTATCCACTGTAAGCGTGGCCGTCCAAACCACAGAACTTCTGGCCGTCCAAACGAGAAAACTCATTAGCCGTCTAAGCAGAGAACCCGATGCCGACTAAAGCACAGATAGCCACAGATAGTCACAGATAGCCACAGATAGTCAGTCACAGATACTCAAATAGCGCCACCTAGCAACCGACCACTTAGAGCATGGTGCGATCGCCTTAAGACAATCTCATTAATGCTGACCAGTGGAATAAGTTCTACTGTGTTAGAGGGTTGGTACCCTACACATCCAAGTTTATATTTAGTTCTACTGTGTTAGAGGGTTGGTACCAACACATCCAAGTTTATATTTAGTTCTACTGTGTTAGAGGGTTGGTACCAACACATCTAATTTTATATTTAGTTCTACTGTCTAAAGCTAAACACAATCATGTTTATAGGAATGTAATATAGATTCTAGAATTACTAATAATCCCAATCAAAACTTACACCCGGTTACGCTAAAATTTATAAACAAATAAAATAGAAGAATAATTTGTATCAACGTCCCTGTCATCTTAAAAATTCAACTGAATAGTATATTGAATATGTTAACACTTCGTACTTAAAGTTAATTGCTATTCTATTTTCAGCAAATTATAGCGTTATATACCTAGTATTCTTACTATTTATTGGTGTTAATAATACAACGCATAACGGGACTTTAAATTTACTAGTCTGACCAACTTTTACTAGTCTGACCAACTTTTAAATTAAGTGACTCAATATGCGATAAACTACGATTTCGCCGTATAAAGTTACGGATATAGTTTAAAAAAAAACCGTTTCTCTGATGCACTGATTAAATGTGTCTTAATTCACAAAGAATGAACTTTTTGTAATCCATACAAAACTCGCACCATAGAACATCTTTCCCTGTCCCCTCAACGACTGTCTCCATATAACATCTCGTCGGTGAGAGGGGTGGGGAGAGTAGGGGTGGGGGGTCTTCTAGTTGGCCTTAACTAGCGGCCCCTTGTGACAGTGTGAGGGGGTGTGTGTGGGTGAGGGTGTGGGTGAGGAGTGGGGTTGGACCAGCCCCGGGCTAATTAAATTCTTGTATCAGCCGCCACTGACATTTTCATATTTCCAGCCATCTTGTTCTTTTTCTAGGCTTAAGTATGTATGAGAACCGATTTGTATAATTGTAAAGATAAGACAACTATAGGAATAAATGTAATAAATAATGAGTAAAGCTGACCTAAGCAAAACTTAGCAACGATAGTGATGAGATCATCTGACATTTAAACTTATACACTCTATGGCAATCATCTCTAGTTGAAAGAAAGCTAGTAGTAAAAACTGTGTGAGACTAAGTTCTTTAAAGGAAATTTGAAAGAAAAAGATTTCGGACATCGTGAGTGATAGGGACCAACAAACCATAGGGAATGAATCTTTATCGAACGCTTAGAGCCCAACATTGATCGATTTATTGAACTCACACACACATTTTTATTTTCTACATCCCACTATTTCCTACATCTAACCAACCACACACTATTTTCTACATCTAACCAACCACACAACCACCCAGTATTTCCTACGTCTAACCAACCACCCACTATTTTCTACATCTAACCAACCACCCACAATTTTTTTTACATCTAACCAACCACACAACCGCCCACTATTTTCTACATTTAACCAACCACACAACCACCCACAATTTTCTACATCTAACCAACCACACAACCACCCACAATTTTCTACATCTAAACAACCACCCACAATTTTCTACATCTCACCAACCACACAACCACCCACAATTTTCTACATCTAACCAACCACACAACCACCCACTATTTTCTACATCTAACCAACCACACAACCACCCACTATTTCCTACATCTAACAAACCAAAGAACGACTGGTAAAAAATTATGTCTGGGCGATTCCAAATGAATCGATTATTTCACTTTACTAGGATCTATTGACATTTTCCCTCAACACGATACCCTAGTCACACGATACCCAAGTCACGATGTGGATAAATTTAGATTTGATTTTTTTTTACAACACGCCCGATGTTTTTCTCAAGCCCCTAGTTTATTGTCTTACTCGAGTGAAGAGAAATCTTGCTCGGTTTTTTTTTTCAGTGAAATGTTTGAAACACGGTTACGCGAACTGAAATTTTGTGATTTTTTTTCCTCAGAGTATAAACAAGTAATTTAATACATGACAACAAGGGTCGATGGTTTTAAGGTCGGTGGATTTAAGTTCGATGGTTTTAAGGTCGGTGGTTTTAAGGTCGATGGTTTTAAGGTCGGTGGTTTTAAGGTCGGTGGTTTTAAGGTCGATGGTTTTAAGGTCGATGGTTTTAAGGTCGATGGTTTTAAGTTCGATGGTTTTAAGGTCGATGGTTTTAAGGTCGATGGCTTTAAGGTCGATGGTTTTAAGGTCGATGGCTTTAAGGTAGATGGTTTTAAGGTCGATGGTTTTAAGGTCGATGGTTTTAAGGTCGATGGTTTTGAGGTCGGTGGTTTTAAGGTCGATGGTTTCAAAGTCGATGGTTTTAAGGTCGATGGTTTTAAGGTCGGTGGTTTTAAGGTCGATGGTTTTAAGGTCGATGGTTTTAAGGTCGGTGGTTTTAAGATCGGTGGTTTTAAGGTCGATGGTTTTAAGGTCGATGGTTTTAAGGTCGATGGTTTTAAGGTCGATGGTTTTAAGTTCGATGGTTTTAAGGTCGGTGGTTTTAAGGTCGATGGTTTTAAGGTCGGTGGTTTTAAGGTCGATGGTTTTAAGGTCGGTGGTTTTAAGGTCGGTGGTTTTAAGGTCGATGGTTTTAAGGTCGATGGTTTTAAGGTCGATGGTTTTAAGTTCGATGGTTTTAAGGTCGATGGTTTTAAGGTCGATGGTTTTAAGGTCGATGGTTTTAAGGTCGATGGCTTTAAGGTCGATGGTTTTAAGGTCGATGGCTTTAAGGTCGATGGTTTTAAGGTCGATGGTTTTAAGGTCGATGGTTTTAAGGTCGATGGTTTTGAGGTCGGTGGTTTTAAGGTCGATGGTTTCAAAGTCGATGGTTTTAAGGTCGATGGTTTTAAGGTCGGTGGTTTTAAGGTCGATGGTTTTAAGGTCGATGGTTTTAAGGTCGGTGGTTTTAAGATCGGTGGTTTTAAGGTCGATGGTTTTAAGGTCGATGGTTTTAAGGTCGATGGTTTTAAGGTCGATGGTTTTAAGTTCGATGGTTTTAAGGTCGGTGGTTTTAAGGTCGATGGTTTTAAGGTCGATGGTTTTAAGGTCGATGGTTTTAAGGTCGATGGCTTTAAGGTCGATGGTTTTAAGGTCGATGGTTTTAAGGTCGATGGTTTTAAGGTCGGTGGTTTTAAGGTCGGTGGTTTTAAGGTCGATGGTTTTAAGGTCGATGGTTTTAAGGTCGATGGTTTTAAGGTCGATGGTTTTAAGGTCGATGGTTTTAAGGTCGATGGTTTTAAGGTCGATGGTTTTAAGGTCGATGGTTCTAAGGTCGATGGTTCTAAGGTCGATGGTTTTAAGGTCGATGGTTTTAAGGTCGATGGTTTTAAGGTCGATGGTTTTAAGGTCGATGGTTTTAAGGTCGATGGTTTTAAGGTCGATGGTTTTAAGGTCGATGGTTCTAAGGTCGATGGTTTTAAGGTCGATGGTTTTAAGGTCGATGGTTTTAAGGTCGATGCTTTTGAGGTCGATGGTTTTAAGGTCGATGGTTTTAAGATGCGTGCCTGTGTCTGTCTAGATGTCTGCCTGTCTGTCCACCTCCGTCTCTCCACTGACTAGTTTGATACTAGTGGCAGATGTTTGTATATGCCAGGGCAAATAAGAAAACTAAGCTGCAGTCACGTTGTCTGAGAATATGAAGATTCAGGCCGGCGCTGGTTTACATATGGTAATCATGGAGCCTACATGAGGTAAAAGGGGCCCGCAAGACGACAAGGGCCCCACGCAAGATGTAAAGGGGAGGTGGGGCTCGTTTAGCTTATGTGGCATAAGCTAAAAGAGCCCCACACCAAACACAAAGGAACCCATAAGTAGAAGGGGTGGGGGCACTCTAGGTATACGGTACCCACATAGGGTAAAAAGAGGCCCACGATAGCTAGATGTTGCCCACTGACACAAACTATGTGGAATTTTATATAAAAAGTTAAAAAAATAAAAATAAAAAACAATCACCCTTGTCGGTAAATGCAGGTAAATAAGAAATTTAAAAGTAATAAAAATATTCCTGTGCTTGTTACCTTGGATAACCCCATTAAATAGACTTTCTTGATGTTTAGAAATTGCGTAGCCAGGGAAAAAGATGGAAACAGATTCAAAACAAAAAATATGTTAGATGGAATCAGCTATAGTCAATCGATATTAAACCGAACTATGGACTCTAAAACACGTCTATCGACGATAAGTTTTACAGTATTGTTAATTAATTAATTAATTAAAGAATAAAGTTGATTTATCGCTAAAACGGAAGCCTAAAACTTGTTTGAATTCCTTAAAAAAAGAACACAGTACAGTAAAATATCATTCAACCAAACTATTTCTGTGAGGCCTCGATGTAAAGCGAATCTATGTAGTACGTGTTATAGCTTCTCATAGCACTATACAACTGGCTTTATTTCAGACTTATGTCGAACGACTGGAGATCTTACGACTGTCACGGAGGAAGACGAACGCCTGTCCTGGACTACGAACGCCTGTTCTGGACTACGAACGCCTGTCCTGGACTACGAACGACTGTCCTGGACTACGAACGACTGTCCTCGACTACGAACGACTGTCCTGGACTACGAACGAATGCTCCGGACAACGAACGAGTGCACCTAACCAGGGACCAACAAAATCTAAAATTTGTGTTTGACTAGAACACCCAACGCAAAAGACGCCGCTAGAGTTAATTAATTAGGTGGTCTTTCGAAAAGTCAAAATCTTCTTCATTAAAAAAATCAATCGACAATAAGAAAATTTACGTACATTCTATAGAAACTTTATCTCCTCCCCCCCAATATTAATTGAAAAGGCATGAACCTCAATAAAGTGCTTTACAAAGCACCCTCAACAAATTCAAGGTCGTTCGACAATGGTCTACCGCGCATGCACTAGCTACTACATCTGCAAGATTGTTAGAGCAATTACCACTTGGTTAGTCAATCTAATAGCATGTTAATTAGCTCAAAACTAATGTTAGTATTTTGCATTTAAACTACTATTAAATATTTTTACAAATATGAAATGGAAATGTTATTTAAGTTTATTTTGAGCATATACAATTAAAATAAATGACAGTAACACTGTTTAGTGTTGATTAATTAATTAGCAGAATACTTTCTCGAAGAGATACTTGGTATTGATAAAGGGAAGTAACAACGTAAATAAAGTTTGAAAAAATCTTCCCCTAGGGTTACCTTCTCCTGAGCATAGATAAGAAGACTCTTGGACGCTTTTGGTTTAGGGGGAATGGGAGGAGGTGTTTTCTTGGGTAGGCCCGGGGAGGGGCCCCTGGGTGACAGAGGACTTGCATCAGATGAACGCTGAGCCATCTATACGTTAACGACAATGGACACATAAAAAAAACACCAAAATGAGCATTCAATAATAAACAGAGGACTAGCCAAGGTCTGAGTAGTCTCCCTTCACAAGAACATGAACTCGTGGAATACACAAAATTAAATAAATGAAACATTGGCTAATATAAGAGGCAACAATAGTCTAGCAGTTAGGGTTTTATGTTAATTGGCAAAATGGCCGTAGCAAAACAGTCAATAAAGAAATGGGTTATTTTCAGATTTTTCATATTCTTATGAATTCAAAGACCACCCAGAATATATGATGACACAGTTATATTAAGGCTAAAGCAGATCAAAAGACAATATCAAATTAGCTAGCAAAATACTATCGTTTTCATAAATTATCACATTATTAAGTAGATTGTGGCTACAATTTAAAAATTAGTGTGAATACATTTTATTTTAATAATAAAAATAACTACTTTATAGTTGTAACTGTTAAATATTTAAAATCTTTAACGGTGAGCTTTTCATTTATATTTTTAAATGGTTCAATTTATTTGCTGGCTGAGCTAGTGTGATTAAATATAAAACATGTAATGTATTTATAGACTGATCAAGTATAGATCATGTAATGGCTGAACTAATTATAATGATCACATATAAAACACCAAACATGTGAGCACATCGGGGGGAATGAAAAAACAAAACAGCCACCATGAAGGTATAAATCTGTTATTAAAGCATGCAGTGATATCAAGTGGACTCGCTCAATACCAAAATATTTAGTTAGATGAAAAAAAAATCCATTACTGAAGGTAGGTAAAAAAAAAATCATTGAAAAAAAAAATCATTTACTATTTAACAGAGAAACATCAGTATTCGTTTTATAATTCATGTATAATTATTTAATTATTAATGATATTGACATAATGAAATTATGGATGTTCTTTAAAGTGTAATAGAAAATAGAAAAAATATATGAAAATTTGGTCATCTCTACAATGTGTGCCTTCTATTTTAGCCTAAGTGCTGGTTTGTTGTGCTAGGGTTATCTTGGGTAGCTACAAGAGAGAAGGGTCGACCAAATACCTGTTCAGATTCAGACTCGGTAGAGTCGAGCTTGGCAATGGGTGCTGCCTTCTTCGTAACCGTGGCAACCAGGTCGGGGGTGGCTGCATCTAGTTCGGACCTTAGGGCCTGTTCGTAGGACGGGACGAGGGCTGCGCTACTGCTTGCTACTGATGCTCCCATAATGTGGTGGGTGGGTGTGGCTGAGGATTCTGTCGTGATCATTTCAGTGTACTGCAGCTGGGGGTCGGGCGGGGGAACATTTTTGTTCAGGGATGGCCGGGGTTGGCGTGGAGGTTTGACCATCGGAGCCACGTCCTCCCTGAGTTCAACACTGCTGGACTTGGGGATAGACGCGATGACCGCATCGTACCCAGGGGGTTTCTCTATGTTGTTGCCAATCTTCCGTGGAGAGACTTTCTTCGGTATCTTCAATTCCTCATCGCTCTCGTAAAAACTGTCTTTACGCTTTAAACCTTTGCTGCGGTCCAGCTCACTGGAAGAATCGGAGGTAGGAAAAGATTGTTCTAGAGACACGGACATGGGGTCGGACCCCAGAGACTTGTGGTCGTACGCATCATCGGTGGGGATCTCCACCCGCAGTGCCATTTTCAACGATTCCAGAATATTCCCAGACGTCTCCACATTGTCAGGGAACCCCACCTCAGTGTGAAGAGCCAGGGATGTTTCAGGCATGTCTTGATGGTTCCAGTCCATGTGGGAACCAGGAACCTGTCCGTCAGGAACGTCAGAGGGTTGGCTGCTAAAATCGTGGTAGGGAGGCAACTGAAAAGGTGGGCGGAGCCGTGGAGATGAACAAAGCGAAACTAATGAGAAACCCCAAGAGCAAAATAAAACTTTGGATAAACATTGGTGAGCAGTGATTTAACATGCATGCACATGACAAGCCCAAAGTCTCTCCAGTACAGAGTGAAATAGATGAAATAAATATATATATATATATAGTGCAGATAGGCTATCAGAAAAGTAGAAATCTTTCAATGTATTCATAAAAAAGCAACACAAAATTGAAAGTATAAATTGTAGTGGTATATCTAATTATGATTTTTATGTCTTAATGATAATATCCAGGTGGAACGTCGGTGCTAATAAAGAATTCATACAAGGACAACTTATGTTTGAATGATTGCCTATGATTGTAAGAGATGAATATATCGTATAAAAACACTGAAATAATATTTAGTGTGAACTGAAAAGCAAAATTTGAAGCTAAAAGCCAAAACTTCAGTCAGCAATGTTACACTTGTGTTGATATAGCTTGAATTATACTAAAATATTTTCTCGACTAGATATAATTCCAGTTGTCGTGTTGCACAGGCCCGGCAGAACTTACTCCTACTGACCAGTAAACCCACCCCTACAGACCACTAAAACCCACCCCTACTGACCACTAAACCCCACCCCTACTGACCACTAAACCCCACCCCTAAATTACCCACACAGATACCACACCGTGAGCCACCACTGCACACACACATAAACCTGACACTGAAATTACCACTGACTTAGCAAGAAAATGCATGTTTGTCTTGTCATATGCATGCCGAAAATACCATATAACATTTTTTGTACTAATCTGATTAACGTTAATTAAGTTAAATAATTAAAATAAAACGTAAATGTTAATGAGATCAAACGTGAGTCATGTAATCTTAAAAAAATGCAAATGATTAAAAAGAATTCATGCACATCATACCCAAGAATGTATAAAGTTAGAAGAGAACAAGTTGAAAAGACATTCTCAAGGCAATGAGTGCGAAAGTTGAATCAATGCTCTCAAACACAAGCATACCCACACATACAACATGATGCTGCGACTCTCCACATAGCATCAGTACACAACACCAGTAGATGCTCACGGCAATAGACTGAAGCAACCACAAGCCAGAGACAACGATTTCTTTACCTGCATCTCCTGGCGGAAAGCTTCCCCTATGGGGAGGGGCTTGGCCACGCCTATCTTGACCGTGCCCCGGGCCGCGCCCTTCAGGGCCTGCACTGCCTCGTCCAGTGTCGCGTGCTCCACGCTGACGTTGTTGACGAAGATGAGACGGTCCCCGGGCACCAGACGGCCATCCATCATGGCCACCCCACCGGGCACCAGACTCCTGATCACGATCACAGTCTCGTTAGGGTTGACTGGATCCTGCAGTACAATAATTTTAAAGTTTTAGTCCATATGCGCACCAAAGTGATTTAATCAACTAGACGGAATCTTGCATAAAAATAGAACATTTTTAAAAAGTTTTATTGTATTTTCGTAAGAGCCAAAAATATTTAATCGACTAATATTCGTAACTTGCTGCCTGCTTTTTCTGGGGACGGCATTTTCTGGCAATTTAAAACAGTTGTTTTTGGCTTTAAATAATTAGTGTCCAGCTCCGTCTTTAGAGCTTTTAGAGAATTACATCTTCCCTTAGAAATATCATTAAACACACCTGTTGTCTAGAATACACACCTGGTAGTCTAGAATACACACCTGGTAGTCTAGAATACACACCTGGTAGTCTAGAATACACACCTGGTAGTCTAGAATACACACCTGGTAGTCTAGAATACACACCTGGTAGTCTAGAATACACACCTGGTAGTCTAGAATACACACCTGGTAGTCTAGAATACACACCTGGTAGTCTAGAATACACACCTGGTAGTCTAGAATACACACCTAGTAGTCTAGAATACACACCTGGTAGTCTAGAATACACACCTGGTAGTCTAGAATACACACCTGGTAGTCTAGAATACTAAATCCCAGCCCCCTGTCCCCCTTCTCCAGCTCTATGACCACAGGCTGGGAGCTCCACATGGCCAGAGCGTTGAGGGTCTCCATGGAGCGGGACTTGGACTTGGTCAAGGCATCAGGTGAAGGTCCTTCAGAGGTCGACAGGGCCAGCTCGGACTTGGCCTTGACCAGTCGCTCTGTCAGGGGCGGACCAGGCTCAACTCCTGGGCTGTTGGTGGAATTAGGGCATTAACGCTTGGCTTACACTAAAGGCGACAGTCATCAATGCTTGGCTTACACTAATGGCAACATACATCAATGCTTGGCTTACACTAATGGCAAAATACATTCATTAAGGTATGCCCACTCATATGATCACCATGGATTCATTAATGGCTATATAAAATATCAACATTTGCAGTTCGTTTACACAAAAAAAATTAGAATAATAATGTGACAATATGGGTATGCATATTAATACATGACTATAGTACATAATCCAAGAAAAAAATAAGTTCGAAATAATTTTGTTTTATTTCTAATGAATACTGACCACTGTAGCATGTGCTTAATAACTGATTGTTAAGTGCAAAAACAAAATGTTAACATTGTCACCAGAGAACCCCTTCACGATTACACCACCACACAATTTCACGATCACACCGTTACACCATCACACCTCCACACAACTACACCACCACACCATTACACCTAAACGTTAACACTTGTACACAACTTACGGGTAAGGCGAGGACCCAGGAATTTGCATATCTGGAGCAGTAAATGTGTCAGGCAGAGGGGACTTGCGGCGTGCACAGACCAGACGCACGTGCTGGGGGAGGTCCTTGAGGATCTCCACAACATTCACGTGGTTCAGCCCCAGGAGTCTCCGGCCATTCACCTTTGGAGGGGGGGGGGGGGGGGGGGGAAAGAACATTTGTATCACAGGGCGGGGGCAAATTTTTTTTTTAAATAGAAAAATATACGTTGAACAAAGCAGTTACACAATTCGATTTAAAATTCTTGACTTTAAAGCTTTAATTTAAAATTAAAAAAAAAAAGAAAAAATACCAAATTTTCTGAATGGTGACAATCATAATTGGTTAATTTTTTTTACCAAAAGCATTTAACAATGTAATTAAATTTTTATATCATTTATCGAGAAAATAAAATTTAACTTAGATTAAAGCTGCAGCTACTATTAAATAATAAAATGTCATAAAACGTATGGACTCTTTGATCAAATTCTATTCTTATTTGACTGTAGGCTGTATAGGGCTATCAAAGTAATATAATGCTGATAGGGGGAATTTAGGGCTGTTAGATGTATTGTAATAAGGCTATAGGTTATTACTGCTCAGTATAGGTCCTAATACAAAAAGTTAAGTCTTAGCGGTCAGGTGACTCCACTTACCTCTAGGAGTTCATCACTGCTCTTAAGGCGACCGTTTAACCCAACCGTTTAACCCAACCGGTCCACTTACCTCTAGGAATTCATCACTGCTCTTAAGGCGACCGTTTAACCCAACCGTTTAACCCGACCGTTTAACCCAACCGTTTAACCCAACCGGTCCACTTACCTCTAGGAGTTCATCACTGCTCTTAAGGCGACCGTTTAACCCAACTGTTTAACCCGACCGTTTAACCCAACCGGTCCACTTACCTCTAGGAGTTCATCACTGCTCTTAAGGCGACCGTTCAAGCCGACTGGACCGTCTGGCAGTATGGAGCGGATGTAGTGGTGTGGTCTGACTTCCACGCCATCCTCCACATCAACCGTTCCCTCCAGGCTGATGCCCAGCCCACCCCCCTCCTTGAACTTGGCCAGCTGCGCCACCTGGGATACAGAGGACATTTTAAGTAGACCAAAACTATTGGCTGGTTATTTTAAGTAGGCCAAAACTATTGGCTGGTTATTTTAAGTAGACCAAAACTATTGGTTGGTTATTTTAAGTAGGCCAAAACTATTGCCTGGTTATTTTAAGTAGACCAAAACTATTGGCTGGTTATTTTAAGTAGGCCAAAACTATTGCCTGGTTATTTTAAGTAGACCAAAACTATTGGCTGGTTATTTTAAGTAGGCCAAAACTATTGGCTGGTTATTTTAAGTAGGCCAAAACTATTGGCTGGTTATTTTAAGTAGGCCAAAACTATTGGCTGGTTATTTTAAGTAGACCAAAACTATTGGCTGTTTATTTTAAGTAGACCAAAACTATTGGCTGGTTATTTTAAGTAGACCAAAACTATTGGCTGGTTATTTTAAGTAGACCAAAACTATTGGCTGGTTATTTTATGTTAAGTAGGCCAAAACTATTGGCTGGTTATTTTAAGTAGGCCAAAACTATTGGCTGGTTGTTTTAAGTAGACCAAAACTATTGGCTGGTTATTTTATGTTAAGTAGGCCAAAACTATTGGCTGGTTATTTTAAGTAGGCCAAAACTATTGGCTGGTTATTTTAAGTAGGCAAAAACTATTGGCTGCTTATTTTAAGTAGACCAAAACTATTGGCTGGTTATTTTAAGTAGACCAAAACTATTGGCTGGTTATTTTAAGTAGACCAAAACTATTGGCTGGTTATTTTATGTTAAGTAGACCAAAACTATTAGCTGGTTATTTTAAGTAGGCCAAAACTTTTTGCTGGTTATTTTATGTTAAGTTTGCTCAAAACTATTGGCTGGTTATTTTAAGTAGGCCAAAACTATTGGCTGTTTATTTTAAGTAGACCAAAACTATTGGCTGGTTATTTTAAGTAGACCAAAACTATTAGCTGGTTATTTTAAGTAGACCAAAACTATTGGCTGGTTATTTTAAGTAGACCAAAACTATTGGCTGGTTATTTTAAGTAGGCCAAAACTATTGGCTGGTTATTTTAAGTAGGCCAAAACTATTGGCTGGTTGTTTTAAGTAGACCAAAACTATTGGCTGGTTATTTTATGTTAAGTAGGCCAAAACTATTGGCTGGTTATTTTAAGTAGGCCAAAACTATTGGCTGGTTATTTTAAGTAGACCAAAACTATTGGCTGGTTATTTTAAGTAGATCAAAACTATTGGCTGGTTATTTTAAGTAGACCAAAACTATTGGCTGGTTATTTTAAGTAGGCCAAAACTATTGGCTGGTTATTTTAAGTAGACCAAAACTATTGGCTGGTTATTTTAAGTAGACCAAAACTATTGGCTGGTTATTTTAAGTAGACCAAAACTATTGGCTGGTTATTTTAAAAAGACCAAAACTATTGGCTGGTTATTTTAAGTAGACCAAAACTATTGGCTGGTTATTTTAAGTTGGCCAAAACTATTGGCTGGTTATTTTAAGTAGACCAAAACTATTGGCTGGTTATTTTATGTTAAGTAGACCAAAACTATTGGCTGGTTATTTTATTTTAAGTAGACCAAAACTATTGGCTGGTTATTTTAAGTAGACCAAAACTATTGGCTGGTTATTTTAAGTAGACCAAAACTATTGGCTGGTTATTTTATGTTAAGTAGACCAAAACTATTGGCTGGTTATTTTATGTTAAGTAGACCAAAACTATTGGCTGGTTATTTTAAGTAGACCAAAACTAATGGCTGGTTATTTTAAGTGGTATGTTATTACCCCCTCAGAAATTATCTTCAACTGAATACCCCTCCCCATCTTGACTTCCACTCACACCCCGGGGGGTCAAGTAGTGACACCTACCACAACCAAAAAGTCGTTGCCCACTATAGGCTCTCACGCTGCCTTTACCCCCCCCCCACCACATGTAGCGCCACCTACCACAACCAAAAAGTCGTTGCCCACTATCGGCTCCCACGCTGCCTTTACCCCCCCCCCCCCCCACATATAGCGCCACCTACCACAACCAAAAAGTCGTTGCCCACTATCGGCTCCCACGCTGCCTTTACCCCCCCCCCCCCCCACATGTAGCGCCACCTACCACAACCAAAAAGTCGTTGCCCACTATAGGCTCCCACGCTGCCTTTATTGCTGCCTCCACATCGGGCGAGAGATCTCCACCTGGGGGAGAAAAGAAAGAAAAGCGTTAGGTCATCTTCAATCCCTAGGTCATCTTCAATCCTTAGGTCATCTTCAATCTACTACGTCATCTTCAATCTACTAGGTCATCTTCAATCTACTAGGTCATCTTCAATCCCTAGGTCATCTTCATTCAATCCCTAAGTCATCTTCAATCCCTAGGTCATCTTCAATCTACTTGGTCATCTTCAATCTACTTGGTCATCTTCAATCTCTAGGTCATCTTCAATCTCTAGGTCATCTTCAATCCCTAGGTCATCTTCAATCCCTAGGTCATCTTCAATCTACTTGGTCATCTTCAATCTACTTGGTCATCTTCAATCTACTTGGTCATCTTCAATCCCTAGGTCATCTTCAATCTCTAGGTCATCTTTAATCTACTAGGTCATCTTTAATCTACTAGGTCATCTTTAATCTACTAGGTCATCTTTAATCTACTAGGTCATCTTCAATCTACTAGGTCATCTTTAATCTACTAGGTCATCTTTAATCTACTAGGTCATCTTCAATCTACTAGGTCAGCTTTAATCGTCTAAGGTTAACTTTGCTAAAAGTTTTCAATCCGGGGTAAAAGTATATGTTTTCTATATAAATTCCATGTCGTTCGGGGGGGGGGGGGGGGGCGGTAGACTTTCTTCGAAGAGATGCCTGGAAGAAACTCTGCAAGTGTCCAAACCTTAAATTCACAACAAATTCAAGTCCTATATAATAATGATGTATACGATACTACCCAACAGTGTACACAGTGATACACAGTACGGGTGTGTTCACTTAATGGACATCACTACAGCAAATTGTTGACTGTATGCGGTTTCCAATGTTAATATTTTCATTTTCTCCACCACATAATACACATACTTCAGTCAACCATAGTCAGACGCACATAGGTGGCCTATATAGACAGTTATTCTACAAGCACAAAAGTACATACATACATATATAGGCCTATATATATATATATATATATATATATATATATATATATATATATATATATATATATATATATATATATATATATATATATATATATATATATATATATATATATATATATATTTATGTATAAAAATATTTGTACTTGTATAAAGAAGCAAATTTATTTGTACTTTTATAGTAAAGACTAGGCATGCTGCCCAGCTTCGCTTAGGCTTTCGAAAACATTGAGAATTTGAATGCTTAATTAATTCGCCCGAGGGTCGGTCTACGACCTCAGGAGTTATGAAGAGGTTCCTACGTGGACAAATTTTTTTTCGATTTATAGCTCATATAAGGCGCCGGTCAGTCGAGGTCAGTTTTGACCCCCTCATCGTAGACTTTTCGGCCAACCGGCCCTCGTGTTCTGTCGCCCCAAGGCAAGATCCTGCCAAATTTGAAGCGCCCGCGGCGCCGGGAAGTGCCCTATCGGACACCCGACAACTTTGCTTTATATATTATAGAGATTAGCAAATTGCAAAGATAAACAAAGATTTCAATAAAGTAATTAAGGCCTGAAATACTTTAGTATAGACATTTTTTTTGTTTGAATAGATTCTAGATCTAGGTAGGGTCTACATCTGTGTAAGTCTAGTTTTTCCGTAGATCTACATCATCTAGATCTAGAATCCTAATAGAATTTTTTTTTAAGTTTAGCCCGAGCAAAATAGAAAAAAAAACACGGAGAATAAAAGACGTATTTTAAAATCTTAACTTACGCGAATATGCCTATTCTTTCAAATTAATTTTTTTTTATCCCAAATTAGCCAGTTCCAAACAAAGACTTTGTATAAAATAATTATGTCTTGAAATAGTTTAGTCCTAATATAGAAATTTATTTTTGGAACAGATTCTAGAGAAGTTAGAGTCTAAATCTAGATCTTAGCGTCTACGTCTCGATCTAGTTATTGCGTAGATTTGTAGATTTAGATCTAGTCTAGATCTAGAATCCAAATAAATAAAATAAATTTTATGAGTTTAGGCCGGAAAAATTGTATTGTATACATTTCATAGTGTACGTAGATCTAAATCAAATTTGAATGAAATAGTTCATTTCTTTTTATTCTAAACACGGCAGATGACGTCATTAGTTAATGTATAAGCAATAGTGACGTCACAGTTTTATTCGTTCTTTTTCACATGTATTAATGCTTTTCCGGTTGCATAAATAATACTGTTTCTCTACATTCGAATACGCCTTTATTTTTTATTTTTCTTCTGTAAATAAAATTGTGGTTATACATTTAAAACATCTAGCATATTATTTTCAACAAAAGTCCGTATAAAGTTCTCCATATATCGCTGCCGTTTCTGACGTGATGTCCGGCGAAAATATTTTGCGGACAGAGAGAAGTGCGCACATGGGGAATTATATATTAGGATAACATACGAATGTGAAGACATTCAGGCTATGAACCCTAATTTAAAGCTATAAATAATGATCTGTCTCCTTTAATTTGTTCCACGTGGCATCGATTGGGAGACCGGAACTTCAATCATTTTTGATAAGCGCTGCACGCAGACTTAGCGCTGTCGTCTGCCGACTAATGAGGCTGCTCGAGTAGATCTTCGCTTACTGCATTAACAGCAGGCGTCACCCGACGCTGAGTAATGAAGTCGGTAATTTGAAACGGAATAGAGGTTTTCAGCAAAGGTAAGATTTTTATTCAGCGATTTAAAAAAAAAGAAAATAATGACTTTATTATATTCTGATAGAATAAATTGAACAATTTTAATCAAGATTTATGTTAATAAAGTAGCGCATTGAGTGGAAAAAGTAGAGTTCATGTTTCTTACCCTCGGAAATAATGTGGTCAGCACTATTCTCGAACGTAATCTAGGTACTCATTAGAGCTGGGTGGACTCAGCGAGATACGTGACCTTCGAACTATTAGCCAAAAGCAAGATTTACGTATAGAATTTTAACAGTTACGGAAAAACTTTTTTAAAAAGTGCAATAGAAGAAATTCAATCTGCTCTATCAGAATGAGGTTAAATGCCGAGTAAACACACCCAAATGATCAACAATTTTAATGAAAGCAATGTAAACTAATTCTTAACACAATTGCACCGTTAGATTTAAGTAAAAGTGTAATCCTTGCTAAGGATACAATTTAATTAACTCAGCCAATTAAGGCTGATAAATGAGCAACCATCACAGGGAATTCCCGCCTCTTTGAGCGTGCGCTACATTAAAGACGCCTGCACATTTTCTTTCTGGTGTATCTTCGCCTGATTAATTCCACAAGTTCAAGGTCACCACTGAGTAACGTGGTTTGAACTCTACACCATCGTGTTTACTGTTGCCGCCTGTACAGCCTCACTTTCAAGTTGTTTGTGTTTGCTAGACACACGTGGTTTACAGTGATTGAGTTTCCGTTCTTCACATACGAATTTAAACAAACTATATATATATATATATATATATATATATATATATATATATATATATATATATATACCACATAGGCCACCACATACACCGACACAACCAATAGATACTCCAACACTGCCAGAATATACATCACTTACAACAACATAATCACCACATACACCAGCAAAGTCATATACTCCACCGCTAAAACCATATACATTAACAAAGACGCAGACACCACCACTACCACCACATACGCCATACACACCACCACTATCACCACACACACAACAACCACCACATACATCAAGCAAAGCCATATACACCACCACTACTGCCACATACACCAGCAACACCACCACTACCATCACATACACACCACCACATACACACCATCACTACTACCACTTACACACCACCACTACATACGATGGAGACGACTAGAAAATCAATAACCCAGTGCCTACAGAGTCATATAACCAAGGCTAGAGTCTCTGGTCGAGATTTTGGTCGAGTTTCTAGAAGCTTCTCCAAACATAACTGATGTCCTTGTTGACAAAAGTCATGTCATTGATTACATACCTGACGTCTATAATTACATAACTGATATCAATACTTACATAACTCGTGTCAATGACTACATAACTGATGTCCATTGTAGGGGGTTGGACATAGTCAAGAAAAAAAAAGGCTAAATTTACATCAAACCCTCGCACCTAGCTCACAAGTGTACATATAAAATCGCTGAATCAACATTTTAACTGTATGGAGAATTTTTTCCCTTCCCTTTTATGCACTCTCCAGGACAAATGTACACCCCGTACACAAGTACACCTGATACAGATATAAAGATTCAAGTGATAAAACTAAAACGTCAAATAAAAAAGTTTCATAGCTTTAAAGATCAGTTCGGCGTTCGTCCAAATATCTTTTTTTTTTCACATTCTTCAACCTGGCCTAGTAAACTCCGAACAATTAAAAACATAACAATCGTGCTAGAGATGATCCAATTAATTTCACTTCCATAGATAATCCAATTTAATTGTAGTTATAGACCATTCATCCAATTTAATTGTAGTTCCATAGATAATACAATCTAAACGTCGAATTTAAAAATAAAACAGATTTGCTTAACTCATCCACAACAATTCATTACGCTGCAAAACTTGAAATGAAAATATCTTATGTAGTTCTCTCTCTCTCTCCCTCCCCCCCCCCCCCCCGGGTTCCCCCTTCCATTTATCCTCTAATTCTGATATGTAGAAGATAACGTTAATTTTATAGACAGGTTTAGGGCGGAGGAAGGCGTTCTCTCAGTGTTTCATTGCCGGCCCTCTAGCGTGTGCCGGCTGATAAGTCGTCTGCTGTACTCCACTGTCGGCTTTCTAGCAGCCGTGTGCCGTATGGTCGTCTGTAGTGTTCTACTGCCGGCTGATATGGTCGTCTGCTGTGTTCCACTGCCGGCCTTCTAGCAGCCGTGTGCCGTATGGTCGTCTGTAGTGTTCTACTGCCGGCTGATTTGGTCGTCTGCTGTGTTCCACTGCCGGACTTCTAGCAGCCGTGTACCGGCTGTTATTGTCGTCTGCTGTGTTCCACTGCCGGCTGTTATGGTCGTCTGCTAGTGTTAACCTAC